AGAATCTCGCCATTAAGTTTGGTTACATACTTGAACAACACACTGTCAAAAGATCACCAAGAAAAGTATCTACCAGTAATCTTTCTGCAACGTTTGCACGTTTTCAACTCTGTTATTGATGTATTTCAGTAAAATAATTATTAGACGTGTCAACACCTCAGATATAAGGGATATATATCTAGAATCTAGACTAGAAAAAACTACTTTTTTCTGTATGGAAACATGGTAGGTTCCCTTACGAGGGGAGTGTACCGACACTACCAACTCTTGGATTCTTTAATCTCTATCTGTAGAGGAGGAAAGTTAGTTATATTATAAAGTTTTTCCAGGGCTAACGATGTATTAAAATTCTCGAGAAAGTATTTTTGGAGAACGTTCCACGAGCATGAACGAGAATAAACGAGCATAGACGAAAAACAGTTGAGAATGTAGTAAAGTATTCAAAAACTCACTTTTCGCGGTTCAATCCGAAAATGCTCAAAATTCTCAAAATCCATGAGGTAATGATACACTTTTTAAATAGGTGCCGCGTTGAATTTTGACATTCTACGTTTATGGATATCTTTATCTTGGAAACAGTGTATGAATGGGGAAGTTTCCTCCAGATGAATTTTCATAAAATAAGTTGTCAACTCTAAAGTTTTATGTCCACGCTGTACAGAATGGCGACCGCCGCGAATCTAGTCTGAAAATAGCTGATGGTGAAGAATATAGCTAGCGAATAGCTAACGAATAGCTAACGAATGAAAAAAATAGAAAAAGATGTAAAACTGGTAATCAAAAACATACATAACCACAAATGCAGTCGGAGCAGGAATGCAGAGGGTAGTTGGCTTCGTTCTGACAGGTTATGGTTTTGTTATTTATGCATTGAAATATCTCGAATATAGCTCAATCCTAAACGAAAATATCATTGAATCAATGAATCAATATCGGCTACATTCAATGATAATATCCTTCCTAATTTACTGCCATCGGTCAAAGGAGAATGAAGCCGACACGTCAGTATTTTGAGTGGTGTGAACGACCTCGAAGTAATAGGCGCTGTTGCTATAATCTCCAATTTTCCTAGAAAATAGATCCTTTTTATTAAGGAACGAATTCATTAGCAAAAAAATGACCGACAAGTTATGAATAACATATTGTAATCAACTCCATTCAGCCAATGAGAGATTTTGGGAATTATTCATAATACTTGACAAAGTAGGATTGAAGAACCTATTATATCCCATTGCTGTTATGATATAGTTATTATGCATTCAAAGAACAATTTTCGGAAATCTAGATATATTTATGATGTCGGCAACGCCGTATCGGCACTGGGAATCGTATTCTAACTCTGTGTGAATGTGGATTTTCAGGAAGTACGTCATAGAAATGGTGGAGGAGCCAAGTTCACCTTTTATAAATTTTTTTCTGAAGTGAAATTTGATCTTACGAAAAAAGGAAAAAAAAAACGTGTATATTAATTCTTTTCAAACTTCACAGTCAGATAAAAACCTCAATATATTAAACTTCCCCATTATATTCATTTTGATTGAAATTATTCAGATATCTTTATCTTTATTATTATTATTCCCAAGAAACATACATGTTTATAGCAGGGAAAATTAAGAAAGAGCAACTAAAAAAAAAAAAAAAAAAACAAAAATTAGATAATCAGATAATCATTTTTAAATCATATACATAATACATATAATGTTGTTTCTTCTAGAGACTGTTGAATATAATTTCTTGAATTGATTCAGGATGACATGGAGAGAATCAAAGACATAAGTATTTTTTCAGTTCTTTTTTGAATTTTTCAACACTTAATTTTTTCTTTAGTCTGGCAGGTAATTCATTATAGAGAATTGTTCCATTGTATAAAATAGATCTTTTACCGATATCTGATTTAATTTTGATGAGAGTTAACATATCTTTTTGTCTGGTTATGTGTTCGTGTTTATGACTATTGACTTCAAAATTCAGATTTGAATGTTTATAATTATATTTGACGGAATGGATGAAATTCAATATTTTGAATTTGTAAATGGAGTTTATATCTAACAATTGCCTAGGTTTATAAAGATTTCTTGTTGGTTCCAAGTAATCTAGTTTGTATATACATTTAATAACTTTGTTTTGAAGGATTTTGATTGGCTTCATGATTGATAATCTAGCTGTACCCCAAACTGAAATCAAGTATTGTAATTTTGAATAAACCAAGGAAAAATATATACATTTCAAGTATTTCAAAGTGATTTGATGTCTGATCCTGTAGAGTACTCCGATTACTGGAGATATTTTCTTTCTGATCGATTCAATATGTTTGGACCATGACAAATGTTCATCAAGGAATATCCCAAGGAATTTGATGGCTGTGGAATATTTGATGATTTCATTATTGAATTTGATATCAAATTTTAGTTCACTTGAGAGGCGTCGTTTAGAGATATACATGAATGCTGATTTGCTGTAATTTATACTCAATTTATTATAGGACAACCATGAAGATAAAATAATCAAGTCACTTTCAATTGCATTTCTGATTTGTTGGATTGAGTCTGCGGAATAAATCAATGTAGTGTCATCAGCGAACATGTAAACTTTTCCTTTCAATTGGATGTTAACAATCGAGTTGATATATATCAAAAATAAAACAGGGCCTAAGATTGACCCTTGTGGTACTCCACATATAATGTCATTAGCTGTACTTGAAACTGTTCCTTGATAAACAAATTGCTTTCTACCACTCAAATAATTTTGAAACCATTTATGAACTATACCTCTTATGCCAAGTTGGTATAACAAATTGAGGAGAATTTCATGATTCACAGTATCAAATGCCTTGCGAAGATCTATTGACAGAAGTCCACACATCTTATTAGCATCTAGTTGCATTTGAAATTCTGTCACAACATCCAAAACAGCTGACTCTGTGTCACAAGATTTGCGAAAGCCATATTGATGGTTGTAAAGATATTCTGTTGCCTCTAAATAATCATGCAGTCTGTTATTCATTGTTTTTTCCATTATTTTTGAAATGATTGGTAGTAAGGAAATAGGTCTATAATTCTCCATATCATCCTTTGATCCACTTTTATAAATTGGTTTAACTTTCGCTATTTTCATTTTTTCAGGTATAATCCCTGATAAAAAAGATAAATTAATCAATTTTGAAATGATCGATGATATTTCATATTTAACAGTCTTTACAATGCTTACACTAATGTTATCAAAACCTGGAGATTTTCTTGAATTTAAGGAGTTTATGATATCTTCAATTTCTTCATCATCTGTTGGTTTTAAGTACATTGAATTTGAACTTAATTTGTCAATTCCCATTTTAAATGAAATAGGAATCTTTGCTGCTAATTTTGGTCCAACGTTTATGAAATGTTCATTAAATTCTTCGCATATTTCGTTGGGGTTGAATATTTTCTTGTCATTCTTCTTAATAAATTCAACATCCTTATTGGGTTCTTTCACTTTATTATGCATTATGGAATTTATGGTGTTCCACATAGATTTTTGGTCTCCATTAGTCAAATTTTGTTTATAGTAATCCTGTTTTTTTTCCCTGATGGTTTTTTTGACCAGTTTGTTATAATGTTGATATAATTCAGCAGCAGTTGATTCACCATTTTTTTCTTTCTTCATTTGAAAATATTTGTCACGTAATTTAATTAATTTAACTAATGTTTCATCAAACCAAGGTTTCGAATCTTCTTTTATTTTCAAAGTTGTAGTATAGGAGCAATTTTCAAATACATCGAGAATTTTTTCATAGATTATGTTAGGGTCTTTATATGTGTTTATAGGCATTTTCAAGAGTTCATTCTTCAGCATATCAACTTTAATTTTCTGTAAATCTATTCTTTGGTCATGAAATGTTCATTTCAACACCAGTTACGAAATAAAAATATGGATGGACGAAGGGAATGGTGCATTTTGTGCTGCTTCCTCGATATCACTTGGGAAATATGAACTTGAATCAGCCCGAGAATCAATTTCATTTTCCACTAATGTTAGAAATCATCAAAACTAGAGAAAATATTGTAGTTAACCAGCTAGGAAACGCGTCGCTTTTTGTGACGATGGGATTTTGCGGGACGAGCGAAGCGTGTTTGATCCCGCAAAACACAGAGTACGTAATAGTATATTATGTAACAAGTGTTATAAACGTCCTTTTAGTAACGAGTAGTTTAAGCACGAGCGGAGCAGAGCGGAGCGAGTGTTTAATAAACGAGTGTCTAGAAGAGTTTATAAACGCGTTACATACTATGCTTTTTCTACGAACTCCGAAAATTACATTAAAATATCTGCTATTCCTGCTAACCTACAAAATAATTCGAATGGAATAGGAATAGCGAGACACGTATAAGTTATTTGGTTGTTGATGTGTCCAGTACATTGCTTACTAACCTTTGTTTCACGTTTATTGTTATGCTTAGCGCAGAATAAATAAATTGTTCTCAAAGATGGATGCTTCATTTTCACACTTCTTGAAGATATGCAAGTACCAGAACATTGTCTTCGATTTCACTTTCGTCTACTTTTCGCATATATTTTTAATGATGAATTCTGATACAAACAAATATTGTTTGAATAATTCTGATACAAAATATGAAAATAACAGTTGACAGTTAATACAATTGACAGGCCAGACATGTCTCAAATTACTGAAGCTGTATTTAATGAACTGCTTTGCCATGGTAATATGTTTAAGAAATCGTGTTGCCATGGTAACGTGTTTAATATTTTGAATAAATCACAGATCGACAATCCGTGATTAATCGATCATTTAGCGTGGTACATATCCGTACGCTTAATGCTATTTTAGTTATGTGAGTAGAAAAAAGATCTTTCACAAGACTTGAACATATACAAGGTGTTCCATTTGAAAAAACCGACTTGGACTCTTTTCCTCTATTTTGCACTCGATACGAACCTACCGATTCCAACAATGTATACAGCAAAGATTTTCAATGTTCTCTCTTCCTTCCCCGCTTTTCCAGAAATGAGCGAGGCCCGTCTGTACCCAGCGCCTAGCCACCACGCCGCCGCTAGATCGGCCGCCAACGAGATCCGCCTCGACAACGGCAACCATCTGCCGACCGCCCCGCCCGATTCGACCTTGACGGCGACCTTGACCTCGTCGGCGACCTTGACACGGCCCGCGGTGGTCGCAAACGCCCGCAAGAGCCACCCGAAGGTCGTGCTGACGATGGGAGTGGCAGAAAGCAAGGTGAGAAGAAGATGATGGTCTTCGAAAAGTAGCGTTTTTAGAATATTCTGACATGTTCTATAATGTGTCAGAATGTTCTAGAATGTTTGAAAGTGTTGTATAGTGTTTTTAGGATATTAAGAATATTTCAGGATATTCGAGAATGTTCTAGAATCTTCTCCTGAATGTTCCAGAATCTTCCTGAATGTTCCAGAATCTTCCTGAATGTTCTAGAATATTCCTGAATGCTCTAGAATCTTCCAGGCTGTTTAGAATGTCCTATTATGTTCCAGACCATCGTACCAATATTCTTTTAAGAATGTTCTGGTATATTTTTTGATGGGTCAGAATTTTCGAGAATGTTCCAAAATCTTGTCCAAAATGTTGTATAGTGATTTGAATGTTTCATAATGTTCTAGAACCTTCCAGGTTGTTCTATAATGGTCCAGAATATTCCAGGATGTTCTAGAGCATTGCGCCAATGTATTTTTCATGGGAAGTCAGTGCGTTGACCGGGTATCGAATATCAAAGTGGCCGAGACTGGCCAGACCGTTCTTGAATATTCTAGAAGATTTAGGAATGTTTCTAGATTGTTCTATAAGGTTCCAGATACACTCGCGGGCAAAAAAACGCAAAAAATAATTTTGCCAAATTGATGTAACTTCTTTTTAAGTCTTGTCTTCGAGAATATTCCAGAATATTTGAGAATTTTCCAAAATGTTATATAATCTTTGATAAGGATTAAGAATGTTCGATAATGCTCTAGAATCTTCAAGAAACTCCAAGAGTGTTCTAGAATATTCTAGAGTTTTCTAGAATGTTCTAGAATCCTCGGGAATGTTCTGAAACCTCAGATTTTGTTTTTAAAATGTTTTGTCTTGAAATTATTGTTCTAAAACGTTCCAGGATGTTATAGAATGTTCCAGGATGGTCTAGAACGTTCCAGGAGAAGACGACGCCATCTTGAGCGAGGACATCGAGCAGCTGTGCAGAGCTCTGCAAGTCCAGCGCGACGATTTCTCCGTGCTATCACTCACATTCTATAATATTACGCATCATTTCATTAAACTCATTCATGTTCCAGATTCTTGAAGAATGTTCCAGAATGTTCTTTGAAATGAATGAGGAATGTTCGATAATGCTCTAGTATCCTCGAGAATGTCTCGAATCTTCGATAATGTTTTAGAACCTTCTACAATATTCTTGAATCTTTGAGAATTTCAAGAATCTTCGAGAATGTGCTAGAATCCTCGAGAATCTTCGAGAAAGTTCTAGAATTTTCGAGTATGTTCTCGAATCTTCGATAATGTTCTAGAATCCTCTACGATGTTCTAGAATATTTGAGATTGTTCTAGAAGCGGCTCTCTTCGACCGTTTCCTAGACCCCTTCGAAGTCGCTGAAGAACAGGACGCCATCTTGGCCAAGGGCATTGTACATCTGTGCAGGGATCTGCAAGTTCCTTCCGACGTTTTAACGTACAATTGCCCGTATTCTATAATGTTACGCATCCTTTCAGGAGACTCATTAATGTTCTCGACTTTTCAAACTTGTTCCAGAATGTTATATTAGCTTTAAAAAGGGTTAGGAATGTTTGATAATGCTCTAGAATCCTCGAGAATGTCTCGAATCTTCGATAATGTTTTAGGATCTTCTTCAATGTTCTAGAATCTTTGAGAATGTTATTGAATCTTCGAGAATGTGCTAGTACCCTCGAGAATCTTCGAGAATGTGCTAGAACCCTCGAGAATCTTCGAGAATGTTCTAAAATATTCTATAATGTTTTCGAATCTTCGATTATGTTCTTTCATATTCAACAATATTCTAGAATCCTCTAGAATGTTCTAGAATTTTTGAGGATGTTCCAGAATATTTGAGTATGTTCTAAAATGTTCCGGGATGTTCCAGAATGTTGTAGAATTACTCAGAAATCGACATTTTCCTTATTGCAGCCTTCGGAGGCCAAACTAGCGGCCCTCTTCGACCGAAGAGGCTGAAGCTTTTTTATTGTTATAGATATATATCATATGTTTATATATCCCTATTATATAAAATATGTTTCTTGGGGTTATAAAGAACAACAACAAAAAAGTGGACGCCATCTTGGCCGAGGGCATCGAGCAGCTGTGCAGGGATCTGCAAGTCTCCCGCATTCCATAATGTTACACATTCTTTCAGGAGACTCAGTAATGTTCCCGAATCTTCGACAATGTTTCAGAATGTTATATAAGCTTTGTAAAAGATTATGAATGTTCTGTAATGATCTAGAATCCTCGATAATGTCCCAAATCTTCGATAATGTTTCATAATCTTATACAATGTTCTAGAATCTTCGATAATGTTCTATAATCTTCTACAATGTTTTAGAATACTCTACAATGTTCTAAAATTTTCGAGGATGTTCTAGAATGTTCCGGGATGTTCCAGAATGTTGTAGAATTGCACATTTTCATTATTGCAGCCTTCGGAGGCCAAACTAGCGGCCCTCTTCGACCGATACCGAGACCCCTGCGAAGACGCTGAAGAAGAGGACGCCATCTTGGCCGAGGGCATCGAGCAGCTGTGCAGGAATCTGCAAGTCCCTCCCGACGATTTCGCCGTACTATTGCCCGCATTCCATAATGTTACGCATCCTTTTAGGAGACTCAGTAATGTTCCTGAACCTTCGACTATAGAATCATCGAGAATGTCTCAAATCTTCGATAATGTTTCATAATCTTATACAATGTTCTAGAATCTTCGAGAATGTGCTAGAATCCTCGAGAATATTCGAGAATGTTCTCGAATCTTCGATAATGTTCTATAATCTTCTACAATGTTTTAGAATCCTCTATAATGTTCTACAATATGTGAGAATGTTCTAGAATGTTCCAGGGTGTTCTAGAATTACTCAAAAATCGACATTTTCGTTATTGCAGCCTTCGGAGGCCAAACTAGCGGCCCTCTTCGACCGATACCGAGACCCCTGCGAAGACGCTGAAGAAGAGGACGCCATCTTGGCCGAGGGCATCGAGCAGCTGTGCAGGGATCTGCAAGTCCCGCCCGACGATTTCGCCGTGCTGGTGCTAGCGTGGAAGTTGGGCGCTCAAAGGATGTGTCGGTTCACGAGGACGGAGTTTGTCAGCGGGTTGAGAGCGATGCGGGCCGATTCGGTCAAGGCCATACAGGTAAGGAGTGTCCGTCTAACAGCCGGTTCCATGATCAACTCGAAGTTCTCTTTCATTTGAAAAGTTTCCTTTATTTTTTTCTATTATTTTTTTTATCTCTTGGGGCGCACGAAAAGAAAATTCCTATGATGTTCGCGGAATATCGTGCATACCTAGGGAGGATAGGGAGATGAGTTAGGTGTTTGTATTTTATTTGAACTCTTGGAGGTTATAAGTTCCTAGGACTATTTCCAGTGGCATAGAATTCCAAAGTGTCGCCGTTTTATGGACGAACGAGTTTTGGTAGTGTTGTTCGACATTTTTCAAGGTTAACGACGAAGGGATGTCCTTACTGGGCATGTCGAGTTTGTCTGACTGGTAATGCTAGTGATGGAATTATAGCAAAGATTTCTGAGGAATATTCCCTGTCCTAGGCTAGTCTGCCAGAATTGATCTGCGAGATGGAGCAAGACCGTATTTTGTTATCATCCCCACCATTCGCTATTTCATTCATTCAACCGCGTTTGGCATTCGGGAGTGTTGGCGTACACTTCTTAATGATTGATAAATGAATCTTGTTGTCTATTTACTGTTATTCACTGTGATTTTCTCCCTCTTCTAGACCAGCCAGCCGGAAGTGATCTGCGAGCTGGAGCGAGACCGTAACCTCTTCCGTTTCTGTTATCAATCCCACCATTTGCGATTTCATTCATTCAACTGCGTTTGGCATTCTGAATTGTTGGCGTACACTTGATGAATTAATCTTGTTGTCTATTTACTGTTATTCACTGTGAGTTTCTCCCTCTTCTAGACCCGCCTGCCGGAAGTGATCTGCGAGCTGGAGCGAGACCGCGATCTCTTCCGCGACCTCTATCGCTTCACGTTCCGCTTCGGTCTCGACTCGGCTGAAGGGCAGCGTATCCTGCCCGCCGACATTGCGCAAGTCCTGTGGAAGTTGGTGTTTACGATACGCGAGCCGCCCATTCTTGACAGGTGGCTGTCGTTCCTCGACACGCATCAGTCTATCAGGTGGGTATGGTGGGTGCACAATTTTCTACACGCTTATATTAGCTTGATATTATGTATGTTTCCAACAAGACAGAAATTCAAGTCATTACCACACTAGTTCATAAAGTGAACGAAAATGGTAGATTGCGAGAGAAAAACAACTACTTTCCTGGCTATTTGCCACGCAGAACATTGGGTTACATGGTGTGCCTACGCGCATATTATGTGACGTCATCTGGGATACCAATATCAGCTGCTAGTCACAGACAGATACCGTTGCCATGGGCGTGCGCAATGAATTCAATCATGTTTATTGAAATTTCTATTAGTTTCTCGATCTGTTTAGAAATAATTCAATTTATATAAACAGGTACCTATTCCTTCGATTTTACTATTTCATTGCCTATGGAAATTGTGATCTTGAGGTAATTCGCAATTGCAAATAGCAAATACATACGAATTATCATGCATTATCGGCAATCCCATCTGAATGATCCACTACTGTGTCGATTCTGACAGATTAAAATTCAGCAGTTAACGACGTTGACGTTGCTTCTGTTCCGACATCGACAACAGGAGTATCAATTTTTGCCGTTTTGATATTCAAATCTTGGCTGCAATTTATATTTTGAGAGAAATTAATAGTTTTGAATTCATTTTCAAATATTTCTGACTTGATATTCGGAAGATGTTATGTAGGAATGGCATCTTGTTTCAAATATTTGTGATTTTTTGGAGGTGCGTAATTCAAGAACCGTACTTTTGCACTTGTTTGGGAACATTTTGCATGGAAATGTTTCCAAGAAATACGTGCTGTGCTGTAATATGATTGTGATGATAATATGATAGGTGAAAACTTTGGAATGAGGATATAAGGAATATAAGGTAGGTACCATTATTTGAGTTTATGTTCTGTCGGCAGCAAGCTCCCATCGTTTCATTAGGTCTTGGAAAAGCAGAAAAATTCAATATCTGTGTCTTTTGTATGTTAGTTGCAATTTCCATAACCAGAAAAGGAACAAGTAGGCATTTCGAAATTATTTCATTCAATTTTAGTACTTATATAATATCTGAAGTTCGAGACATCAATCACGAAAACAAATAATAACAATGACAGTTATATCCCAGCTGACGTCATGCGCAAAACAAGACGAGTTTGAGCTTTCTGTTGAGCACACCATCTTCTCCTTCCACTATGCATCCTCCCGAAATCTATGCAATATATATTCGTATAGGCGAATAAAATCGCAAGTGTCTCCTTCCTAAACGCTGAGCTGAGCTCAAGTGGTTCAGGGACGCTGACTACCTGCAGAACGGTTTCGAGCTGTTGGCTCTCATCAGTACAGGGCTGTCCCAGATAGCTTCTTGACCGCTATGTGGTAAGAACCCGACCCAACGTAACGCATCTCAGCATTTGTATCATACGAGGCGTTCGAAGTCCGCGAAATGAAAACGCGAACGCCGAACGCCACCTGGCAAGGAAAGAAACACTCCAAAACAAAATCCCATTTCAGATGAAATGGGAGTGGCTGGTTGCCCGACTGGCGTATTTTCAACTAGGGAAAAAGCCAAATACTCAAAGTGGAATGCAATGGTCAGTTTAGGAAGGAAACACTTGCGAATTTATTCGTCTATACGAACTATTGCATAGATTTCGGGAGGATGTAATCCAATATTCTGCGTGGTATATAGCCAGTGAAATAGTTGTTTTTCACTCTTGTTCTACCATTTTCGTTCATTTTATGAACTAGTGTGGTAATGACTTTGAGTTTCTCTCTCTTTGTGACCATTGCATTTCACTTTGAGTAGTTGGCTTTTTCCCTAGGTATGTATGATTGTTTTTCCACCATCTGCTATAGAACCTATACTGAGGTTATAATAGTAATAATATATTTATTTCATTCTTTGCTATAAACATTTCATTGCATCTCATATGAATATAAATATATTTTATTAACATTTACAATGAATAATCAGACAGATCCATATCAGGTATGAGATTATCATGCGTTATTAAATCAAAGTTATTCAAATAAACAACAGATTCGAAAATAATAATAATAAAACAAAATGTTCATGAAAAGTACATTATGACATGATGAAATAAATCAGTGAATGAGAAATCATTCACTCAGGTTTGATTTTCTCTTTGCAAGAGGATATGTTTCTTGACTCTATCATCAGGTAATTTATTGAATTTTGAGATAGCTCCGTGAGTGAACTTTTTTTGGACAAGTGTAGAATTAGCAGCATCATGATGAAACAAGTCATATTGTCTAGTATGATGTTCATGGATTTGAGAATACCTTACCGATATGAAGATACATAAACAAGACACACAAAGTCATCTCCACAAATTTATTGACTGAATAATCAGTATCTGTACATGTTTCGGACTATCAATAGTCCATCATCAGCAGCGTATTCTAATTGACAATTTTTGTGGAAATGGAAAAAGGAGAAGTTAATAAAATTATTGCATGATACAATTTGAATTACAATAATGATAATAATATTGAAGCATTTGCCCCGATGGAAAAAGCGGGAACTGACAGTACACGGTCGTACATGACATAAATTTCAAAGGTTTGACAAATTGGGAGAATTAGAAGTTTGTGCTTTCCAACTGTGAGAACACGGGAAATCAATTCACTCTATTCGAATTTCCATCGGATGACGTAATTCTACAAAAATGGAAACAGAATATGATGCAGCCGGCATGGAATATGGGTTCAGGCCACAAAATTTGCGAAGTATTTAAATTTCAACGCATTTTTATCAGCTACACTTCAGAACGGAAGATTTGATGTTGAAGAATAGGATCGTATTGAGAGAAAAAGCCAAGCGAAAAACATATTCTTGTCCTTGTCTGGCAAAACATATGATTTGCTTCAAAATCGTTTGTGGTTATGTTTGATTGTCACTGCTTGTCTAGTGTCCGTACTCTGATATACAAAAAACGTCAAAACAGCAGTGTCAAGTACATTTAGGAACTCTAGACTAGATAGGGTTGGTACTTCAAAATAATGAAATACAATTTTTCACTGAAACAAACCCATTTGACATTCGCAAAGAAAATCAGAAAGAGGGGAGAGAAACATTGAAATTATTTTCCTCCTTCCAGGGGCATTCCGAAGGACACGTGGAACATGTTCCTCAACTTCTCCGAGCACGTGGGCAACGACCTCAGCTGCTACGACGACAATGAGGCGTGGCCTAGTCTCTTCGACGATTTCGTCGAGTTCGAAAACGACCAGGCCAATCAGAACGTCTCTAAAGAGATGGAGAAAGAGCGCGAAGAATTCATCATTGCGGAGAATTGATCGAAAATAGTGTTTTCCCTGCCCTAATCGAGGAGGTAATCACGGTTTTCGCGGCAATAAAATGGCAAAACGCTCACATCCACCGGTACAAAAATCAGCCATAGAAAATGTTTGCTGAAGTGATCGCCCTGTAAAATTTTCTATCTGATTTTGGTGAAATTTCGACCAGATCATAGATTCATGTTTCAGAATGTTAACCTCAACTTTTGTTCCCCAGAAAAGCTGATGGCTTCATCATTATACAGGGGAAAACTAAAAGTTACTCTTTCACCCTCAACTTTTCAACACCCTGTGGCAAAAGTGAGCCTAGCTTCATCGTGTTTTGGATTGAAGTGTGATTCCTTTTTAACAATATGGTTTTTGATTCACTTCAATTTCTTCTTTTTAAGAGATGATACAAGTATTTTAAGAAGGTATGAACTTTTTGAATTTGTATTAACAATAATTCAGAAGCAATAGAGCATTTTCTCTTACAAACAACATATTGACGTGAATCAAAAACCATTATGTTGAGAAGAAATCACACTTCAATCCTAAACAAAATGAAGCTAAGTTTGGTCCCTTAATTTTGCCACAGGACGTTAGGAAGTTGAGGGTAACAGAATATCTTTTATTTTCCCCTGTGTAATGATCAAGCAATGAGCTTTTCTTGGAAACTAAAGTAGAGGCAAACATTATGAAACAATAATCTATGATTTGGTCGAAATTTCACCAAAAACAGACAAGTATTGAAGAAGTTACAGGACGATCAATTTGGTTCCATATTTTTCCGGTTGGTTAGGAACCTTTCGTCGAATACGAGAACGACCAGGCCAATCAGAACGTCTCTAAAGAGATAGAGAAAGAGCGCGAAGAATTCATCATTGCGGAGAATTGATCGAAATAGTGTTTTCCCTGCCCTAATCGAGGAGGTAATCACGGTTTTCAGGGCAATAAAATGGCAAAACACACATCCACTGGTACAAAAATCAGCCAGAGAAAATGTTTGCTGAAGTGATTGCTCTGTAACTTTTCTTATTCATATCCGATTTTGGTGAAATGTCGACCAGATCGTTGATTCATGTTTCGGAATGTTAGCCTGATGGTTTCATCATTATACAGGGAAAAATAGAAGTTACTCTTCTACCCATGACTTCTCAACACCCTGTGGCAAAAGTGAGAGATTAAGCTTGGCTTCATCGTGTTTTGGATTGAAGTGTGATTCCTTTTTAACAATATGGTTCTTGATTCACGTCAATATCTTCTTTTTAAGAGAAGATACAAGTATTTTAAGAAGGTATGCATTTTTTTAATTTGTATTAACAATAATTCAGTACCTATAGAGCATTTTCTCTTGAAAACAATATATTGACGTGAATCAAAAACCATTATGTTAAGAAAGAATCACACTTCAATCCTAAACAAAATGAAGCTGAGTGTATCCACTCAATTTTGCCACAGGACGTTCAGAAGTTGATGGTTACAGAATATCTTTTATTTTACCCTGTATAATGATCAAGCGATGGGCTTTTCTTGGAAACTGAAGTTGAGGCTAACATTCTGAAACAATAATCTATGATTTGGTCGAAATTTCACTAAAAACAGGCAAGAATTAAAAAAGTTACAGGACGATCAATTTGGTTCAATTTTTTTTCCGGTTGGTTAGGACAATTTCATCGAATACGAGAACGACCAGGCCAATCAGAACGTCTCTCTAGAGAAAGAGCGTAAAGACTCCATCATCGCGGAAAATTGATCGAAAAAGGTTTTCCTGTTCCGATCGTGGAGGTAATCACGGTTTTTTCGGAAATAACACGAGACAAAACAATCACACCCGCACTCAGTGGCAAAAAACTTGACCGATTTTTGTGAAGATTCACGTTTCGGAATGTAAGCCTGAACTTTAGTTCCCGAGAAAAGCTGATGGATTGATAATTTGTCATTGCGGAGAATTTTTTCATCGCTTGCAACACAGGAAAGGGAATTCCTATAATGACCGAGAATAGTTATTTTTCGTAGACCTCTACAAAAAATAAAGACAAGTACTTTTCGACCGCAAACACTTTTCGTCCGCTGTGGGTAAGTTGACAGCTGTCGACTGTCATTTGCTGTTGTCAAATTGATTATTTACGAAGTCCGATAGATTCTATGTGTGAATAAGTCTATGGTGTGTGAATATCAGCGTTCGAAGTCGACGAAAAAATTCTATATGCACCTCGGCGAAAAAGTGATGGTAGGTTCTACAGTGTCATATGGAAAAAACTATTTTGAGATTCTACTTGAGCGTTGAATTTTTCTTTTAAAAAAATGAAAAATGGCCTACTTGGTCGGAGTCAAGTGACTTTTGAAGAAAAACATCAAACACTAAAAGTTGTTATAGAACGTTCTTATTCGAGACACATGTGTAAAATTGGAATAGAAACAACTTTTCTCAGTAAACTTTTTTGAAATTCAAACAAATAAGACTACTTACAGCGATTCATTTAAAAAAATGTTACTTTAGAAATGTAGCGATTCACGTGACCCGGACCGAGCATATTTTTTAACAGTTTTTCCCATATGATGCCGGCTTCATGAATAACACTGTATAGCTAGTGGTGGAAAAATAGTACATTGTTTAACGAGCACGGAATGATAAGAGAATCTCATCGATCATGGAATGTCAAATTGCAAGCAATGACATCTCTGTCTAATAGATGAATATTACTTGACAGGCCATCAGATGGCTACAAGCCGAAGAAATCGAAAATGCCGCTTTTATCTGTTACAGCCGTAGAAAAATTATAGTGTATAACTTGCACGGAATGCTAATTTCCTTTTCGAATGAATGAAACTCCATTCTTGTAGGAAACCACTATCATTCCGTGCTCGTTAAACAATATACTATTCCCTGCCCCAATCGTGAACGTTATCACGGTTTTCGCGGCAATAACAAGGCAAAGTAGCGAGATATTTATGTGAACTATTGGAGAACTGTGTAATTTTGTGTAACAGCCACAAAGTTATGGAAAATTTCGATTTCTATCTTGATACATACAATATTTCTTCTGATTTTGATTGGAAATTGTTCTTCAGTACAACGGTTGGACCTGTTTGCCATCGAAAAAGCTACGAGCCCGTATAAGGAGTAATTTTGAAAAGAATCGGATTATAATTACATAACTCGTACGCCATATTGGTTTCGCCTTCTTGAATTTCCAAATTCCGCCCGAATTTTCAAATTCTGACGAAAGAATCATAATAGACTGTTGGCCCGCGACACAGGGTTTATCGATGTTCTAAGTCGGTATGCCATTTAAGGGACCCACTCACTTAAGTCCAAGTTAACAGGAAGAAGTGCCTCGGAGAGTCCTTGCCCCGGCCCTGACCTCACCTTTCGGTTGGAAAAAAGTTCAACACTTTGTTTAAGAAGAAGCTCGGCAATGAAGTGCAATGATCCTATCTCACGAAAATTGTGGCGCTTGCCGGTTTGCATACGCCTAGGTCACTCCCCAAGGGCGGCATACGAACCGGAAGTGGCAATTTTGCAGGGTTATACTCGATGATCTAAGAATGTATGCCCTTTGGCGAAACAATGAATTGGGATCCATTAATCAATTTCCCGACATTTGCATACGATTCCGGAGAGGGGAGCTCGACTTATTCGAACATCATTTGACTGGATATCCTTCAAATAATCGATAATCGAAGAAATGTTCAAACTTTGACCATGGTTAGTGGACCACACAGTATATATGAGATGATGGTTTGCATACAATTTGCACATTCCGTACAGGGTGGTTCACCATAAATATCTCCCATTGTAACTTAGTTGTTTCTGAACCGATTTTGCAATTTCAAAAACCAATTAAAATGATTTTCCTAAGAGATTTTTCATTGTTATTAAAAAATTCACAGGCTGTTCATAACAAATGAACTAGCAATCTAGCGATATCATTTACACGCAGCACTCATGCGCCAAATTGTCAAATTGTGCCAGAAATATGAATCCCGGATTTGAAGTATTTTCTTTTTTTTGCATAAACAATTTTCATATCTGAACAATGATTTGCTGCGTCAGCCGGGTAGAGTGTAGCACGTAATGATACAGGCATTCAATGATGTTTTTCCCTTTTATCGGAGATCCGATATTTATGTAAAAAACAAAAATGTAGATTGAAGTTCAGGATACAGACCACACACTATACCCAAAACATTCAACAAATTGAATGTACATTCTTTGTATATTTTCTAGACGCCAGTATTGTGATAAGCAGTCCCATAAGCCCCAGGGAAGAATTTCAATTCGATTTATTGTGAGTTTCGATCATGAGCAATAATCCACCCCTCTCCTCCCTGTACGATCCCTCTTGATCATCCTGCGAGTTTTTTGTCGTAAAATTTCTTTGTCTTCTTTTCAAAGCCCTGTTTTTCAAATTAAAATCACACAAAAGAAATTCTTGGTACTAAACCTCTCACACACGTAATTATCTGCAATTTGCGTCTTCGAATACCCCCATCACTCCCAGGAAGTTAATCTTTGACCCGGTTTCATGTGAAGTGAGATTATGAGACTTCCAGATTATCTAGTTCGCTTTCGGTGCACCTCTGGCCTGCAGTGCGGGGCACGATTATTACAACTTATGCTCACATTGAATTCATATGCAAATAGCATCTAGTTATACAGAATATCCTAGTTTATCGGTCCAGAGATGTGCATACGAACTCAAATCATCGATTATTTGAAAGATGTCTAGTCTATTGATGTTCAAATAAGTCGAGCTCCCCTCTCCGGAATCGTATGCAAATGTCGGGAAACAGATTAATGGGTCCGAATTCATTGATTCGCCAAAGGGCATACAGATCATCGACTATAACACTGAAAAATTGACACTTCCGGTTCGTATGCCGCCCTTGGGGAGTGACCTAGGCGTATGCAAACCGGCAACGGCCCCAATTTTCGTGAGATAAGATCATTGCACTTCATTGCCGAGCTTCTTCTTGAACAAAATTTTGAACTTTTTCCCAACCGACAGGTGAGG